GTGGAATTTGAGAATGGGAATGATCTCAGCAGGAGTCTGACGTTACAGAGTCTGGCCTCCAAAACTGCCTTTTGTTCCAGGGGAACTTATCTCCGTAATGTTCTGAAATAAGTTCCTGAAATGGCTCCTTTCCATAAGCTACAAGACTCTCCAATCCATCACCCCTAAAAAGTGTTTTGGCACGAACTGCACTCGTGGGTCATGGAAATGGAAATCTCAGGAGAAAACTTGTGGTAACTGTGGACCTGTTGATTTCAGTTAGGAATTGTTTGAGAGGAGAAGCTGCCTTCCTCCTCCTAGAACCTTGAAGTTAATGTGTTTATGATTTTACAATATGATTCAGCAAGTCCAGCTGCTGGCACTGACCACTGGGTCCCTGTGCCAGCAGTTTCTCTGCCCCCCACCCGCCCTCAGCCAATCTGGATCACATTGACTGTAAAGAAAAATGAAAGCACCACACATACTAAAATCTCTCTGCTCTTGCCAAATGTTTTCTGGATCATGCTAAGAAACTCTAGTCCTATAAAATGAATGTGCTACATATGAGTGTTTCAGAATTCCAGAGCTTTTCAATCCTCTGCTACACTTGTTTCTGCTCAGTGCAAAGTTCACAATGGTGGAACAGGAATCACAATCTTCTCCTCATATGGGCTGGGGGTCCTCTTCCCCTTTTTTCAAAGATGATCCATCCTTCTGCACCTCTTCAGTGATCTTTAGTTGATGTCGGTATTCAAGCTGCTCTCTGAACTCAGCTTTCTGAATGTAAAATTCCCTCCATGCTTTTAGCATGCTCCTTATTTCCTGAGCACAGGCTCCTAAACATCCCAAGGGGTCATTTGGTTATTCACAAATATAGATGGTTGTGGTATAAACAACCTCTGCGAGTAATTTGTTCTTTATTTGACTTGTAAGATATTATTTCCTGTAAGATATAAAGCTGGACAAAACTGGTCTCCCTAGACAGCTGGTTTTCATAAATGGGAACAAAAAATATCAAAACAGTTTCTTCCACTGTATTGTCTGTGCTAGCCCAACCCAAGATTGTTCAAATCTCTCAAGGTCCACCCCATTTATCGTAGTCATCTGTTCCTTTTGTTTAAGAGTGATTCTTCTTTTTTACATTCCCTCAAAAGAGTTGGTCTTCAGATGCTCCGTGCAAACTGTTGAATCCAAGACGATCTTCCTATCTCATTTACAGGAATCACAATTTGGCTAATGTGAGATGTGCTCTGACCTGGATTTCCCAGGCTAGCCCAATCTCATCAGATCTAGGAAGATAAACAGCATCAGCCCTGTGGTACTTGGATGGGAGACCACCAAAGAAGCCCAGGGTTGCTATGCAAAAGCAGGCAGTGGCAAACCACCTCTATTCATCTTTTGCCTTGAAATCCTTATCAAGCGCTGGAAGTCGCTTCTCAGCCTTTTGGCTAAGATCAGGTATAGTAAGCCAGCTCTGACCTGACTGCCCTTTCCATCACTCATATTAGATGTAATGAAGAGCCAAACCACATGGACATGTCTTTTGCTGCAAAAATGGCTGCATAGAAGGTTAGTGATATGGATTGGAGCAACAGTGCTGGGAAAGAGGGGGGGAATAGCTCTTTCCAACATGGCACAGTTATCCTAACTGGAAATGACCCCTCCTCCCAGGCAGCATCAAGCCTCTGGAGAGAAAAAGACAGACATGCCTGCCTTTTTACCCTACCTGGGATTGAGGCAGCTCTGGGAAGACTTTTTCAATCAGGGGAACAGCCTTCTGGGGTATGATGAAGGGGCTAAACCCACCTTTACCTGGCCCTCTGCCCCCGGCCTATATGAGGTGTCCTCCATCGTTGCTTTTTGCATCTGAAATAAATGTCAGAGGTCCAGTCACAGGCACCCCACCCCCCCGGAAGCAGAGTGTCTGCTTTGGACCTTGGTCCACTTAAAATGACAGAAGCAGAGGTGGGCTTTGATTTCAATGAGAGTGCCCTCTAGATACTTTTCTAGGTGATGTCCATTGGGTCCAGTAGTTGCTGTGTAAAATATAATAGCACCAGTCTAACAGAATGCATGCGGAGCCCTGTAGAAAAATTAAACTCTCACTAATCAACTCCTTGGTGAGCAAGAAGGTGGCTAGGGCCAATCTCCCTCTTAAAATCTATTAAGATTTTATTTTTTAAAACGTAAGCTCTAGGACAGGCTTTTACAAGGCAAAACAAGAAGGGGGAAAAGAAAAAAAAAAAGGAAAAAAGCATATATTCCATCCATCTTTCCTCCCAAATGCTATGAGAATCTGCATACCCTACATGCTGACTGAGTTCATTTAGACTTTAAAAAATTAAATTCCTCTTCTGGAAAGACTGTAGTTGACACACTCATAGAAAGGTCCCAATAGAGTTTTCAGCCCAAAAGATTTGCAGGGTTCCAGATGAGGACTGGGACCAGGCAGTAGTTTTACTGACTAATCTGTCATTCTCTTGACCTGGTTCAACCTGAGACATCTTCTCCACCCTTGCCTTTTTTATTTTTTAATATAGCATCCAGCCTGTTAAGAGTTCTGGTGGATTCGAAAACTTGCACAGTTCTATGTCATTTTGGTTGGTAGTATTAAAAGGTATTGTGCGGTTTGTGGACTTGTTTGTAAAGCATTGTCCAACAACTGACTTCTTTAGTGGTCAGACTGGTTTGTAGGTATCTTCTACAGCTTGTGAGACAAATTTACTTCTCTTAACTCAGTGCACTGGAATGGTTGTTCCAGTTTCCTCTTTCTGTCATAGACTAATCTATGAGAGGGAGGAAGCCAGGGTTATATCTGTACTGGAAGTGGTGCTTCTGAAAGCCCAAAAGATTCCATCAGTTCCCAAGCTAATGGATCCAGGCAACTATTCCTTTCTAATATGCCCCCTTCTAACTGACATGATTTATCAAATATAGCTTCTTCTTACAATTTTCCTTCGGAGGTCTCAGGTCTGTCATATCTGTAGTCTGAAATCTTTGATAAAACAAAAAATGTAAGCCAATTCTGTGAGATTTCTTGCAAATACTGGAAACTTTATGAGCCTTTGTTTGAATCCTGCTTTTTTGTTTGAATCCTCTCAGAATTTAAAAAGCATAATCTCTTACCACACACACGTATATATATGGACTACTATAATGAACTCTGCGCAGGACTATCTTTTGAAAACGCTTTGGAAACTGCAAGTGGTCCAAAACACAGCTGCCATATTGCTGACAGGAGTGTCCTGGTCAGCGCATATAACGCCTATCGTTTGGCAGCTGCACTGGCTCCCAATTAGTTTCTGGTGCCAATTCAAAGTGTTGGTACATACCTTTAAAGCTCTAAATGGCCTAGGACCCTCATACCTTCAGGACCGCCTCTCCTGGCATGATCCTCCCCATCTTCTTCGATCTTTACCTCAGAATTTATTGAAGGTCCCTGGTGCACAAACTGTCCACCTTGTGTCAATGAGGGTGAGGGCCTTCTCAATAATGGCCCCTGTCCTGCGGAACCAGCTGCCCAAAGAGGTGCATGCCTTGTGGGACCTCTCTAGATTCCTCAGATTTTATATGCTGTTAGCCAAGGGTCATTTAGTAGAAAAAGAGGTGCAGGAGCTTATTAGCATAACTTATTTGCATATGCCACCCCCCCTGACATCACCAGAAGTGTGTCAGAAGGCAACACCCACCGCTCAGGCTCCACTGACTGTTTTGGATTGCTAGCTATTGGGGGGGGGGAACGTGCAGATCTGTCCTCGCTGTGGAGGGAGAGCTTGTACCTGAATAAAACTTGGTCTTAAAGGTGCCACTGGACTCTTTTGGATTGCTAGCTATGGGGGGGGGGACCACTTAGATCTGCCCTCACAGAGGAGGGAGAGCTTGTACCTGAGGGTGGGTGGGGGGACCCCTTGCAACTAACCTGGCTGCTTCTTGCTCCTCGTGGCCCGACTGAGGGCTGCTGGGAGCAGGGCTTGTTGCATGTGCCTGCCCCCTGGGCTCCTTACTGCTGGAGCTCTGCTCCTGTGCACTCCTGCAGGAAATGACCCCTGCGTGTTAGACACCCCAAGTCAGGGGAGAGGGAGTGGGATATACATTTGATAAATAAATAAATATACTATACTATACATAGTGCATGATATTGCACATGCAGCCGTGCAGCAGGGCAACAACCACCACTACCCCGGGTCAGGAGGGAAGGCTAATGTCTTTTCTCTCTCCATGATGCAGTCCCAGTCTGAACTGAGTCCTGTGGCACTTGCAGAATTAAGTTCCTTATTCATTTATTCATGGCCCCACTGGGGGACCTCCTGATGGCACTGGTATTTCTGGCCACTGTGGGATACAGAGTGTTGGACTGGATGGGCCTTTGGCCTGATCCAACATTGGCATCTCTTATGTTCTTAAAAGATTTATATCCTGCACTGTCCAGAATCTATCCAGTTTTCCAGTGGATGGCCTCTTTAAACTGGCAGAGGTGGTCTCAGACTCCATGCTGAGACTGCTGCCTGCAGATGATAGTCCTGCTTGGACTTGAGTGTTTATAGAGTACATTTGAAAAGTCTATCAGAGAGAACAATTCTATGTTTGCTTTCTCTGTGTTTTTTGAAAATATGCTGTGTTTAGAAACTCTGTATCATTTTGGTTTTGGTGGCCCCTTCTTTCTGTTTTCCTAGAAATAAAATATTAAAATGTCTGAGGGGATATGATTATCACTGAATATTTAGAGACGAATTAAGCTACATTACGTTCTGGAACATATACACATGTCCTCTATTTCTACATTTCAGTGAATCTCAAGTTCTTCAGTAAAAAGAAAATTCAAGGAGAACATTGTGTCCCCTTCTACATTACTAGAACAAATGTTTCTGGTGACGGTCTTTTCCAGGAAAAAACATTTCAGAAACCCTCAAGGCACAGTGCCCTGCTCAGAATCTGTTAAAAGGTGCCCCATGGAACATATCATTTAATTAGTCTCAATCTGCTGAAATGTAAATATCTTTATTTTTCTTGGTGTTTTTCAGATTCTTCAGAAGGATTCCTAAAAGCTTCCACATATCAAGGGAAGATTGATGTTTATACGATTAGTCAGGAAGGGGAAGTGGACCTTAAGTCTCAGAATGGTTAGTAAATAAAAACCTTTTAAGTAGAACCTGTGAAGTAAAAGAAGGTTAGATTTTGAGCTGGCAACAGATGGTAAATTATCCATAGAGTTCAATGACATTAAAATGTATTTTATTTATCATTTTACAATGTTTGTGGAACCTAACTCCTAGGAATGTGTAGAAGCATTATGGTTTCTGAGCATCATGGGGCATCCTGTCCACTTGACCACGTTGGACCCCTTGTTTGAACCTTGTCTATGAACTGGTTAGCTCACAGATCCTCCTCTGCCCCAGGTCAGCCCCCAAGGGTCTCCTTCCTACTTATACCCATTTCCTGGGATATCCTGTATGGCTTCAATGAGATAACAGCTTTCCCTCGGCTACTTCCACTTTGTCTAAAACAGCTCCCTGTCAATCTGAGGAGATCTAATTCGACCATAATACCTAAGCCTGTTACTAACCATCTGTCTTTCTTCCTCCTCCCAGTCTATCTGCTTTTTCCTAGCTATCATATCCTAACTTTTGCTAGCTCTTAGAACTCTGATCCTATTGACTCAGGAAGGTATGAATAAATTATGATAGTGCTTTCATCACAGCGATTGTGTACAAACTGGCAGACTATGCAGACTCTGCTTGCTATGCAAACTCGAACTCAGAGCCATGGGTTGTACATAGTTACCAGTTTTGGTTTAGAAGGGAAGTGCAAACCATAGGCTTGGCTCCAGGCTAGATGTTTCCAGGGGAACAAGGATTTCTGTCCGTGAAGCATGATTTCCCCCTTCCGCCTCCCTTGGCAACCTGAGATGCTCCCTGAAATCCTGTTCTTGTGGGAGAGGATCCCCCCCCCCAGAACCAGATTTCAGGGGAACGTTTTAGGTGGCTGGGGGAGCGGAAGAAATCATGCTCCATCCTCGCACCTGCAGAAACTGTGGGTCCAGCCCATAGTTTTCCATTTCATAGGCAGTATCTGGGAAAGGGAAAGAACTGGAGCACATGAGGGAAGAAGGGAGCAGGAGAAGAGAATGCATGACTCATGCAGTGCTAAACCACAGCTTGGCATTAGGTATGAGCTCAGCCTGCATCATAGTCTGTATCTCTCAGTGTAGACGTACAGGGAATACTACAGCAGATCTTCCAACACATCTGTTTGTGGTTTGTCTTCTGGAGAGGCGTGCTGGTGGAGATCATCTTACTTGCTAAATGTGCAAGATCAAGGAAAGCATTTCCCAAAGCTTCCTGGGTGCACCAACCTTTTGTCACTGCTGCAGTTTGCACAAGCCACAGTTGGAGAAACTGGAATAAAGCCAGAAATCAGGCACCTTAGTGAACACTCTCTTCATAGTACAATAATACAGTAGATATGCTTAATAAGTGAACAGTGTGGTCTTGTAAGGGAAGAGAAACCTGTTTGAAAAGTTCTCTGATATTTTTTTCAACCTCTTCTTCCATATACAGAAACCCCCACTCTCCATTAAAATTTTGTATTGTAAGAGAAACCCTAATTACTAAATTGATGGGGCTATTTCAGACGTTCTGGGAATGGCTCAGCAACTAGCATCATCCGTGAAGTGAATCTAGGGTTGCCAGGCCTCTGCCCTCAACCCCTGGAAGCTTTTGGGAGCAGGGCATGGGGAGGGATTTCACCTGGAAGTGATGTCACAACACTCTAGTAATTCTCTCAGAATTCTGTGGTAACCCATAATGTTTCTGGGACTTCCTAGAGTGTCATGATGCCATTCAACCTCACCCCCCCCCCATTTTCTTCTCAGTGCTCTATCATGCAGCAGCAGGGGCCAGGAGGTGGCACCTGGATGTCTCCCACTCTTCCAGGTGAGCTAGCAACCACAAGGGAGCCCCACGTTGCGGGAAAAGGTGCTTAAGCATGGCTATTTTCACTGAGATCACAATTTCTGCTACTTTTTTAAAAAACTGGTACCAGATAAATCTAAGCACAGTTACAGTCAACACAGCAACCCTTTGTTGGCTTAACAACAGCAGCAGCCTTAGGTACAGAGGCGGTAGGTATGCAAAACAGTTAATTCACTACCCCTTCTGCCGAAAAAGAACTTCTCCTATACGCTCTGTAAAAGAAGTTTGCCACCTCTTCGATGGCATCAGCCCTGTTTGAGGCTAGAAGGTTCATTATCTTACTTTCCTCAGATTTGCCCTCCAGGGTTTGAAGTATGGGAACGAGGTGATAAGCGCGCAAATCCTGGTAAAATCTACCAGAAGTACATGGTCCGTTCCTTCAATCTCCTTTAGCCCACGGGGACATAACCTATCCGGGAATGGTATTTTCTTTTTTTGAATCTCCCATATAACACAGCTGAGGGGAGCACATTAAAACGGGCCAGCGTGAATACCCTTCTAATATAGGGATCAATCAGACAGGAAAAATACTCTGGCAGCGGCCCATTAAGAGAAATCCCCCAATGAATGGGAGAGCAATGCCCAGTAGCAAAACTTCTAAGTTCTTGCATTTCTATATTGATCAGTCTCTGTTAAATCATGCCAAAAGCATACTTCTCCGAAAGAAGGATCAAATTATCCATGCTGAGCCCCATCAGTTTAATTTTCCCTTCAACACGTGTCAACCAATCTGATAGGTGAGATTCGCATATAAGCGATGAGGCTGGCTCACTTCTATAGAGGAGGCACAGCCAGAATTTAAAAGTTGAGAGTCATGCTTTAGTGACAAAGCGTCTCTGATTTGTCTCAAGGCATATTGCCGCATAAGGTACACAAGTTGGAAGCCCTAGAATTTTTTAAAGAAATTTGGATTGAACACTTTCAACCATTTTATTAAAAGCAGAGATCCAAATTGGGGCACCGTAGAGTAATTTAGCACATATTTTGTAATTAAGCACCTTGAGAGCAGCAGAAATAAATTGATTTCCTTTCGTATAATAAAAGCGGGAAATTGCAAGTTCACTGCTATTCACGATTTTACAACCTCCTTAGTGTTGGAGACCCAGTTAGCATTGTAATGGAAGTGTATACCAAGGTATCTGAAACTCTTCACCTGTTCGATAGGATTTACTCAAACAGTCCATTTAGAGTGTTTCCAACTCCGACCGAACACGATAATGTTTGACTTATCAAAATTGAGGCACGGCAGGTTCTTATCACAATATACTGAAAAGTGCATTAGCATCCTTTTCATCCCAACCTTTGAAAGTGACAGAAGGACAGTGTCATCGGCATATAACAATAACGGTTAGTGTCTTACTCCTAGCTTGGGGAAATGACCGTTAACACCACTCATAAAGGGTGCAGATCATTCAAAAAGAGATTGAACAATATCGGGGCCAGGATAAAACCTTGCTTGACACCCAATGAAATAGCAATTTGTGGCGTTAGGTTGCCTTCTTTTGAGTATCTCACCTGGCAAGTAGTTTCTGAGTAGATTTTTTTTTATCACAAAGAGCAGTCGTTTATCAATCCCCATATTATTCAGTTTCCTCCACAAGATATCCCTGGGCACTGAATCAAAAGCTCCCTTGATATCTAAGAAAGCTGCGTATAATTTAGGTCCTTTCCCTTTCCTATATTTATTTACTAGGTGGCTGAGAACGATGCAGTGATCTAGGGTTGACTTGCCCTGACAGAAGCCAAAATTTGCTGTTCTGATATCCAAGATTTCAGTTTATCAACTAAGTGATTGGCATATAGCGTCCCCATAATGGATAAAGACTGATCGGTCTATAATTATTTGGGAGCTGAGGATCACCTTTTTAAAAGATTGGGACTAATATGCCGTTCGTCCAGTCATCTGGTATTGCACCAGACCGATCTAAGGCTGTAAAAAGGGCTGCTAGGAAGGGGGCCCACCACTGAGGAAAAGCCTTAATAGCCTCAGGTGGAATAGCATCAGGCCCTGGAGCTTTTCCCAATTTAAGGGCTGCAATTAAAGACTCAGTCTCCTCAGTCTGCACAGGGGCCCAACTGGGGCAATCATCCAGACAAATGTCAAACTCCTCTTCGGGATTGTGCCTGGTCTCCTGGAAAATCATTGTAAAATAATTGTACCAGCTGTAACTAAGCTGTTTACTGACCCCTTTCTTCCCATGGACTCGGCTACCAAGGCCCAAAATTTCCTTGAGTCATTATTAATTGTGGCCTGCAAGAGGGGTTTCCAACTTTTAATCAGAAAAAATTTCTGCTTCTTCTTATAAAGTTGGTATAAAGCCTTTTTAGATTCGAAGTGTTCTGGAGGGGATTGTGCTACATTTGACCTCCTGTAACATTGGTAAATGTCACGTAAGTGATTCTTCATCACCTGACATTCATTATTGAACCACCCATGCCCAAAGGCTTCCCCACTGCACCTTTGTTGCTTTATTTGTAGCCTCATGATCCCAGAGAGGTCATAAACAAGCTTATCATAAAATGAGATCCATTCTAAAGATGTATTCTCAGATAGACTTACAAACTTATCTAAATTACTGGGAACCAGGAGCTTGGCGGTCATTTCCACAGCCCTCTGTGACCAACTAACCCTAGGTAGCTTTGGTGACACACTGCCACCTTTAACTCTCAGACAGCCCCTCCTACTGGGACTGACAGAGGCACCTAACCTCAAAGTCAACGAGAGATGGTCACTTTCAGGTCATTCAGAGATTGCAAAGGCCTTCAACTCTTCCCTGAGGGCTGGTGAGATTAGCATGTAGTCCACCACACTACACAGTTACAGTCTTCTAAGCCTGTTGAAGTGTAAATTTGCTTAGATGGCACTGCAAGGATCTGCTCCTTTCGTTATTATCTGACACAGAAGTGAAATTAACCTTCCTTCCTAGCGCCAGAGCGAAATTCAAAGTTTCATTAAGTCTGTAGAGAAAAAAAGATAGGAGGAGGATCACCATCTAACTGTTTGTCAAGTGCTTGTTGCCCCATGCAGCCTTGGCACACATGGTATAAAAGATAAAAGGCCTCCTCCCTCTTGAGCTACGAAGACTGTTACTGTGTGGCTCTCTGTAGATTCCTGGGCAAGAGCAGTAGGCTCAGGGCTCTTTTTGTAGAAAAAGCCCAGCAGGAACTCATTAGCATAATATGCCACAACCAACAGCCGGAATGCATTAGCATATTGGGCCACACCCCTGACAGCACAGCTCATTAGCACATTAGGTCGCACCCCCATGTTACCAGAAGTGTGGTTATCCAGCCACACCCACCTTTTATTCTGTTTACCGTGTTTGTTGTCAAAACCCAGGGCTTTTTTGTAGCAGGAACTCCTTTGCATGTTAGGCCACACACCCCTAATGTAACCAATCCTAATGAGTTTCTGCTGTTGGGTGTGGCCTATTATGCTAATGAGTTCCTACTGGGCGTGGCCAACTTGGGAGCCAGCCGGAACTCCCAAAAATAGCCCTGAGTAGGCTCATATCAGTGCGGTGTGATGGTTAGAGTGTTGGACTAGGGTCGGGGAGACCCAGGTTCAAATTTCCATTCTGCCATGGAAGCTTACTGGATGACTGTAGGCCAGTCACGCACTCTTGGCCTCGCCTACCTCACAGAGTTTTTGTGGGGATAAAATGGAGGAGGGGAGATCAAGGTAAGCCAGTTTTGGTCCCCATGTGGGAGAAAGGTGGGATATAAGTTAAGTAAGTAAATAAATATGCCCATGTTCATCTGAGTTTCATTTTTGGGTCTCCTGTGGTTTGACTTTGTGGCTCAAGCCATGCCTTGTCTGTTAGCATGAATCCTTTCATTTTTATCACAGGTTCCATTACAGTCAAGGTACCTGCCACACTTAAAGCGTATCTGCACTTATCTGGAAGCAAGATTGACGTGAGCCCCGAGGTCCAATTACAGGGGACCCAGAATGTCTCCAGAAGGGGCAGCATAACAGTTACTGGTAAGATTTGTCTTTTACTGTCTCTTAATAAACCTTTGCCTTTACTAAAATATCCTTTTTTAATACTTAATAAGTGTATCCCGATTTGATCAGGTTAACACACCCTTTCCCCGGCCAAGTGAAACATGCCCTAGGTTTCTCCCCTCAGTTTTAGTCTACCGTTTGTTGGCTTAAGTGGCATTACATAATGAATCTTTCGATGTACAGAATAATTTAAAATATGTGGCATGATTCACCAAAGTTAATCATTAAATATTTACTTAACCTTGGTTAGATCCAGGGCTGAGGTGAAATATGACTTTGTCCCCCTCCATACACAAATATAATGAAACATCAATCGGCTCATTCCAAGGGCTGCAATTCTAAGCATGTTCACCAGGGTGAAAATCCATAGAACATAATGGGACTTACTTCTGAGTAGGCATGGTAGACACACATAGAAGGAATGTGGTTCAGCTCTTCTCTGTGCCCTGGACTCTGTGCTTCCTGAATCCCTCCAACTCTTTTGGTGCCCCCCCCCCAAGCTCTGGCACTCCAGGCAATCACCTAGGTTTGTTTAGTGAATGGGCCAGCCCTTATTACATCCTCCTTATTGTGTGGAACACCTGTATGTATATAGTTGCTTTATTTTTAATTTCTAAATATTCTTTATTTTAAATTTTGGTGTGGGATCCCAATAAAATATCCACCAAGACAAGGGAAGGCAATTTTCAGCAATTTCCTCTCCCTCCTGTAGGCCCCCCAAGTCACACTTTCTGTTGTTGCTGACAGTCCCCTATCCCTTATGATCAACATTTTGGGGGAGGCCAGTGTGCTGCAGTGGAAAGGGGGAGACAGGAAAGTTCCATTCTGCTGATGGAAATACCTTCTGTTAGTGGAAATTGTACTTGGGGTCCAGTCCTTGGGAATACAGAACCCTGGGTAGTCTGTGGTTAACAACAGTATCTATAATACAGTCATGGAGGGGGAGGATTAGTGTCTGAGTAGGGAGGACCTGGGACTGCTCATGAGCTCTCAACCAAAGTTAAGGAAACAGATCAACCTGACATCTGCAACAGCTCTGTGGGAAAAGGGGTAGTGTTCATTAGGAAGCATGAAATATACATTATCATTCTTAAACTGCATAAAACATTAAATCAGCTTTGGGGGAAAAGCCTTGTTTGTTCAGTGGAAAATTCCCATGGCACAAAGAGTTACTAATAGCAGCTATTTCAGGCTTCTATGTTCAGAAATTACTTCACAGCTAATCTATGGCTAAAATGACATGCCTCTTGGGAGTAGCAACATGAGATACTAGTAAAAAATTATCTGCTGGGAAATGGGAATTAATAGATTAAGTTCTACTTTATATCGGGTTGCTATGATGAGCTTGCCCTCTTCCCTCCCTCACATATAGAATTTTCCCTTCTGTCTGTTTTCTTGCTGAGCAGCCCCTTTATCTATTTTCTTCTTATTTGTTTGTCCGTGGCTTATTTGTCTTATTTGTTTGTCTGATGCTGGCCCAGCCTAGGGAACTGAGGGAAGAGACAAAATCACCTTCTTATATTCTGCTTTTGAAATGACACACTATGGACTTTTGAAAGTTCAAAATAAAATGTTTTATTTAACTTGGAGGAGAAAGGTCAGGTGGAAGATGTATGAGGTGAACAGATAATAAAACTGAGGCAACTTTGTAGTTACACAAGATAATTTGTTGCCAACAAGTAAGTGTTCCTGCTATTCAACAAGACCTTTAAAACTTTAAGGACAGAGGCTTTCTTTTCAATTTCTTCTTAAATACTCAAGCATTCTGAGTTTCACCAACACATAAAGTTTGGAAGGCAGGAACATACAACCAGGTTCTCAAAATCCTTCTTTATACACAGCCCAGGGATCACTCCTCTTTTTCTAGGAGCTATTTCCCTTCTTAAATGGGTAGGGATCGGTTCTCTTTACTAGAAGTTTTTCCACTTTTTTGGCTTGACTGGGGACCCTCCTTATTCCCCTCACTCTCTTAGTCTCCATCCCAGTCCACAGTCAATGCTTAACTGCCTTTTGAAGAGCTGAAAGTTCCCAACTGTCATTCCTTAACTAACTCTCTCAACAGAATTTCATTTGAACTGCCTGTCACTAAAAGGTTCTCAGATTCAGTTAGGTATTAACCCTTGAGGGTCCATCACAGCTTCCAACTCTGGGTTGGGAAAGTCCAGGAGATTTTAGGATGGTGTCTGGGATGGGCAAGGTATAGGAAGGGGAGGGAGCTCAAAAGGAATGTGATGCCATAGAGTCCACCCTTTGAAGCAGCCATTTTTTCCAAGTGAACTGATCTCTTTAGCATGGAGGTCAGTTGTAATTCTAAGAAAACTCTAAACACCTCCCCCAGAGGAGTTTCCAAATTTATCCTGCTCTGGTTCTTAATATTGTTTGTTGATGCTGCACTCCAGAAATGCAGGGCAGCCACACTGAGAATCACATTGTTTGCTACATAGATGTAGGATGACATCTTAAGCTGGTGATGCCATTTTGCCGTACTGCAGGCTCAAAACCAACAGAAATGGGAGGTGTAGTTCCTTAAGAGGAGTTGCCAGTGGACACACCTACTGACTGGGTTTCCACCAATGAGATATACCTTTGAGATTCAGTCAAAGGATTGGATGCAGAGTGTGGGAACAAGTTTAGGGATGGAAATACTAGAGTAAAATGTGCCCTATGGTTTCTGGTTTGATCCCGTGAATCCCTCAATCTCTGCCTCATCCAGCCATAAAAAGTGACACAGAATGCTGAGTGTGGCCTGCAGAGACTGGTTGTGCTAGCTGTAAATGTAGAGTTGTCAGTTCCAGGTTGGGAAATTCCTGGACATTTGGGGGCAGAGTTTGGGGAGAGGAGGGAGCTCAGCAGGGATGTGATGCCATGAAGTTTATCCTTCAAATGAGGGGGTCTGATCTATGTAGCCTGGACATCAGTTGCCATTCTGGGAGAAATCCAGCCCTCACCTAGAAGTTGGCAATCCTATATAAACTTGGTAGTGCAAGGTTACTTTCATGCACTACTAGCAGTATGCCTATGGTTTACTATACTGAAAGAACACATAGAAAAGGGTAAAGATTGGCTTACTTCTATAAACGTCAGTTTCGCAAGAAGTAAAATCACAATAAAAATAGTAGTAGACATACCATTTGAAAGCCTATCAATCAGGATTTTTTGTTTTGTGGGGCAATTTTTTTTTCTCGTGGGGCACCCATTATGCTTAAACTTAAAAATAATAAATAAATGACAGACAAGTCCTTTATCACTCAAAAACGTTTCAAGTTTATTTCAGAAATGCTAACCATTACAGATCTTGTGGTTTGTAACCTAAAAATGTTTCTGAGCCAATGCAGACGTTGATTGCAGACATTGGGATTCTTAAACTGTTATTACAGGGGATTCTAAAGTCCCACCTGGAATCTGGCATCCCTACCTCCCCTCCCCCCCAGTGCAGACATTGGGATTCTTAAACTACCCCCTGTGCAGCTTGATGCAAAACAAAACAAGTAAACCTTAGCCTCCCAAATGGGGGGTGGGGGCAAGTCTTTCCTTGCCAGCTTCAGCTTGCAGGTGACGAGAGCAGCCAGCAGGAGGTGGCAGAGTGCAGCTGCAGCATGGGATTGGAGGGCAGTGGGCATGGGGCTTGTCTTGAGAGAGAGCAGCCAGTAAGAGAGTGCGGAGCAGGGCTTGCCGGTGGCAGCAACAAGCAGCCAGCAGGAGAGGGTGGTGCGGGGCTTGCTGGCAGTGGTGGCGAGAGCACTAAATAAATAAATAAATAAATCCAAAAATTGGAAGTCAGGGGGCCTTGGCAGTAAGTCGAGAGGCCCCACTGTAGCTACAGGCCTGCTTTCAATACAGATTCAACATTCCCAATAACATCTCTTTGGTGTGCTAGTTTCTCCAAAGGGCTGAAAGTGAGAGTCAAATAAAATGTTCCTGTACAAATGGGTGATTTGTTATAAGGCATGTCAGCTCATGCCGTGTGTTATCATGGCCATGTATCACATCAAGGCTCAAGAATCAGGTTTTTTGGTTCAAATAGCCAAGGACTGACACAGATTCTGTCCAACAAGGGGGCTTTTGCAAGCTATGTATTTCCTGTATTCCTATACTTGCATCTCCTGCCAACCTAGCAGTTCGAAAGCAAGAAATTGCAAGTAGATAAATAGGTACCACTTCAGTGGGAAGGTAACAGCGTTCCGTGCGCCTTGGTGTTTAGTCATGCCGGCCACATGACCACGGAAACGTCTTCGGACAGTGCTGGCTCTTCGGCTTTGAAACGGTGATGAGCACCGCAACCCTAGAGTCGGATTCGACTGGCTTTCGATCAAGGGAACCTTTACCTTATACTTGCATAGGATAAGTTCTGCTACTCTGGAACATACGCATATAAAACCACAACTATGTATATTCTAATACAAGCAGACCCCCTTCCTATTCTCAGATCAAAATTGTAATATAATTTTGGATGTTGCAAAAAAAAAATATTCCAAATAGGAAATAGAGAATGAAAGTTCAGATTGTCATACTGCTCAAGGTATTAGAGCTTTCATTGGACAAAGAAAAGGAAAGAATTAAAAAAAGGATGCAAGCACTATAGTAAAGGCAGTTGATACTAACAGCTGATACTAACAGCTCTTTCCTGTAATCCTTTGACTTCTGTACACAAATGTTATGTTGACCAGTGAAGCGAGATCAAAGCTTCTGCAGGATTTGACACCTCTACTTTCTTTTTGCATTTCTGTCTTCCAAAGAAAAGATTGGGACTGAGATCTTCACTTCTGGTGTTTCTAACATGGCCCATGACAAAGCACAAAATGTGGTAGTTAAGATACCTTGACACTTTTATGTCACTGGGAAAGAATGTCCTCGTTAAGTGAATCCTCAAGAGAGCAACCTAACCTTCTCTTCTTTATAAGGAGGGCGGCAGCTAAGTATTCAGTTTCTTTCATATCAGCAAAGGTGACAAAGTTGTAAAAACTTTAGTTTTGGAA